GTTTTTCATTTTTCGATTTTTTGATTTTTTCAATTTTTCAAGTTTTTGAATTTTCAATGTTTTGATTTTTAAAACATTTCACATTTCGACTTTTCGATTTCTCGATCTTTCATTCTTCCAGTGTCTTATTTTTAGACTTTTCGAATTCTCGATTTTTTGTCTTCTCGATTTTTCAATTTTTTGATTTTTCCGTTCCTCGTTTTCTGGAACTTTTAATGTCACGATTTCTCGACTTTTTGATTTATCAATTTTTCGATTTTTCGTCACGATTTTTGCATTTCTCTATTTTTTACTTTTGATTTTTCAATTATTCGAGTTTTCGTTTTTCCAATTTTTTGATGTATTCTGCACTAATCGATCTTTCGACTTTTCGATTTTTTGACTTTCGACTTTTAGATTTTTCGATGGTCGAGGTCTCTATTTCTTGAGTTTTCACTTTTTTAATTTAATTTTGGACTGTCCGATTTTTCGTTTCGACTTTTCGACCTTTCAATTTTTCAATTGTTCGATTTTTTGATGTTTCGATTTCTCGATTTTGCATTTCTTCGATTTTTCTATTTTTCAGCTTTTTGAATTTTAAATAACAGTTTTTTCAATTTTTTGATGTTTCGATTTCTCGATCGTTCGATTTTTCGACTTCTCAGTTTTAGACTTTTCGGTTTTTATCCGATTATTAGAACTTTTAATTTTTTGATCTCTCAATTGTCCGATTTTTCCGTTTTACGATTTTTCGATTCTTCAATTTTTCAATATTCGGTGTCTCCAAATTTACGGTTTCTGGATTTTTTACCTTTTCGATTTTTCATTGCTTGGATTTTTTGAAGTTTCGTTTTCTAGATTTTTCAATGTTTGGACAATTTTCCGACATTTTAATTTTTCCATTTTTTAAATTTCAGATTTTTTAATTTCTTCATTTTCTACTTACCACTTTTTTCGAATTTTTAAATTTTAGATTTTTCAATTTTTTGATGGTTCGATTTTTTAAAAATGTAAAACCCTCTCGGGGGTTCCAACTGTCTTTTTTAAAAATGTAAAACCTCGGGGGCGCCAAATGCCTTTTTATGTGAAACCTTCTCAGAGGTCGCAACACGATTTTTCGATTTCCGAACTTTTTACCTTTTCGATTTTTTAATTTTTCGAGTTTTCGATTTTTTGGTGTTTCGATTTCTCGATTTTTCACTTTTTTAACTTTTGGTGTTTCTAAATTTCTAAATGGATTTTTTGAGTTTTCGAATTTTAAATTGTGGATTTTTTTTATTTTTCCATTTCTCGATTTCTGGACCTTTTAATGTGACGGTTGCTACGTCAATATTTCTCCATTTTTCAGTTTTTCGATTTTTCAAGTTTTCAATTTTTAGCTTTCCTAAATTTTCGATTTCCCGATTAATCGATTTTTCGATCGTTTGATTTTCTCAGTTCTCGATTTCAAGGCTTCAATTTTTTGATTTTCAAAATATTCGGTTTTTCGACTTTTAGATTTCTCGATGTTTTAATTTTTCGATTTATCAATTTTTTAATTTTTCGCTACGGTTTTTCGATTTCTCGACTTTTTACCTTTTGGCTTGTTTATTTTTAGTCATTGTGATTTTTCAGTTTTTCATTTTTCGATTTTTTGATTTTTGAATTTTGCAAGTTTTTGAGTTTTCAATGTTTTGATTTTTAAAACATTCCATATTTCGACTTTTGGATTTCGCGATCATTCATTTTTCCATTTATCAATTTTACTTCGATTTGTCAGTTTTTCGATTTTTTAATTTTTCCAGTGTCTGATTTTTTGAGTTTTCGAATTCTCGATTTTTTGACTTTTCGATTTTTCAATTTTTTTATTTTTCCGTTCCTCGTTTTCTGGAACTTTTAATGTCACGATTAGTCGACGTCACGATTTCTCGACGTTTTGATTTATCAATTTTTCTATTTTTCGTCACGATTTTTGCATTTCTCTATTTTTTACTTTTGATTTTTCAATTATTCGAGTTTTCGTTTTTTCAATTTTTTTATGTATTCTGCACTAATCGATCTTTCGACTTTTCGATTTTTTGACTTTCGACTTTTAGATTTTTCGATGGCCGAGGTCTCTATTTCTTGAGTTTTCACTTTTTTAATTTAATTTTGGGCAGTCCGATTTCTCGAACTGTCAGTTTTTTTATTCTTCGATTTTTCGTTTCGACTTTTCGATCTTTCAATTTTTCAATTGTTCGATTTTTTGATGTTTCGATTTCTCGATTTTGTATTTCTTAGATTTTTCCATTTTTCAGCTATTTGAATTTTAAATAGTAGTTTTTTCAATTTTTTGATGTTTCCATTTCTCGATCGTTCGTTTTTTCGACTTCTCAGTTTTAGACTTTTCGGTTTTTATCCGATTATTAGAACTTTTAATTTTTTGATCTCTCAATTGTCCGATTTTTCCCTTTTACGATTTTTCAATTCTTCAATTTTTCGATTTTACAATATTTGGTGTCTCCAAATTTACGGTTTCTGGATTTTTTACCTTTTCGATTTTTCATTGCTTGGATTTTTTGAAGTTTCGTTTTCTAGATATTTCAATGTTTGGACAATTTTCCGACATTTTAATTTTTCCATTTTTTAAATTTCAGATTTTTTAATTTCTTCATTTTCTACTTACTACTTTTTTCGAATTTTTAAATTTTAGATTTTTCAATTTTTTGATGGTTCGATTTTTTAAAAATGTATAACCCTCTCGGGGGTTCCAACTGTCTTTTTTAAAAATGTAAAACCTCGGGGGCGCCAAATGTCTTTTTATGTGAAACCTTCTCAGAGGTCGCAACTCGATTTTTCGATTTCCGAACTTACCTTTTCGATTTTTTAATTTTGAGTTTTTGGTGTTTCGATTTCTCGATTTTTCACTTTTTTAACTTTTGATGTTTCTAAATTTATAAATGGATTTTTTGAGTTTTCAAATTTTAAGTTGTCGATTTTTTTATTTTTCCATTTCCCGATTCCTGGACCTTTTAATGTGACGATGGTCTACGTCAATATTTCTCCATGTTTCAGTTTTTCGATTTTTCAAGTTTTCAATTTTTAGCTTTCCTAAATTTTCGATTTTCCGATTGTTTGATTTTCTCAGTTCTCGATTTCAAGGCTTCAATTTTTTGATTTTCAAAATATTCGGTTTTTCGACTTTTAGATTTCTCGATGTTTTAATTTTTCGACTTATCAATTTTTTAATTTTTCGTTACAGTTTTTCGATTTCTAGACTTTTTAGCTTTTCGGTTTTTTAATTTTTCCAGTTTCTGATTTTTAAATTTTTCATTTTTCGATTTTTTTTATATTTCAATTTCTCGATTCTTCACTTTTTCATCTTTTGGCATTTCCAAAGTTTGGATTTCTAGGTCAACCGATTTTTTGAGTTTTCGAATTCTCGATTTTTCAATTTTTTTATTTTTCCGTTCCTCGTTTTCTGGAACTTTTAATGTCACGATTTCTCCATTTTTTTATTTATCAATTTTTCGATTTTTCGTCAGGATTTTTGCATTTCTCTATTTTCTACTTTTTTGATTTTTCAATTATTCGAGTTTTCGTTTTTTCAATTTTCCGATGTATTCTGCACTAATCGATCTTTCGACTTTTCGATTTTTTGACTTTCCACTTCTAGATTTTTTGATTTTTCCATTTATCGATTTCTCTACTTTTCAATGGTCGAGGTCTTTATTTCTTGAGTTTTCAGTTTTTTGATTCTTCGATTTTTCAATTTTTCGGTTCTTCGATTTTTTGATGTTTCTATTTCTCGACTTTGCGTTTCTTCGATTTTTCTATTTTTCAGCTTTTTGAATTTTAAATAGTAGTTTTTTCAATTTTTATGTTTCCATCTCTCGATCGTTCGATTTTTCGACTTCTCAGTTTTAGACTTTTCGGTTTTTCAATTATCCGATTATTAGAACTTATAATTTTTTGATTTCTCAATTGTCAGATTTTTCCGTTTTACGATTTTTTGATTTTTTGACTTCCCCATTGACTTCTCAGTTTTTCGATTGCTCAACGTCGCGATTTCCCGATTTCTCAGTTTTTCGATTTATCAATATTTCGATTCTTAAATTTTTCGATTTTACGGTTTCTGGATTTTTTCTCTTCTCGATTTTTTTTTTCAAGTTTAGTTTCCTAGATTTTTTTGACAATTCTTCGACATATTAATCTTTCCATTTTTTAAATTTTAGATTTTTCAATTTTTTGATGGATCGATTTTTTAAAAATGTTAAACCTTCTCGGGGGTCCCAACTGTCTTTGTTAAAAATGTAAAACCTTGTCGGGGGCGCCAAATGTCTTTTTTTTTTTAATGTGAAACCTTCTTGGGGGTCCCATCTGTCTTTTTTAAAAATGTAAAACCTTCTCGGGGGTCCCAACTGTTTTTTTTTTTTTTTAATGTAAAACCTCGGGGGGTCCCAATTGTCTTTTTTTTATGTAAAACCTCGGGGGTCCCAACTGTCTTTTTCTTAATGTGAAACCTTCTCGGGGGTCCCATCTGTGTTTTTTAAAAATGTAAAACCTCGGGGGCGCCAAATGTCTTTTTCTTTAAGAATGTGAAACCTTGTCGGGGGTCCCAACTGTTTTTTTCAAAAATGTAAAACCTCGGGGGCCTCATATATTTTTTTTTAGAATGTAAAACCTCGGAGGTCCCAACTGTCCTTTTTAAAAGAAAGCGAAACCTTCTCAGGGACCCAAAGTGTCTTTTTTTAGAATATTAAATCTTCTCGGGGCTGCTTTTTTTTTTTAATGTAAAACCTTCTGGGAAGCCTCAACTGTTTTTTAAGAATGTGAAACCTTCTGGGGGCCTCAAGTGTCTTTTTTTTAAGAATATTAAACCTTCTCGAGGCTCCCAACTGTCTTTTTTTAAGAAGGTGAAACCTTCATTTTTTTATATTACACTGTGACTAGTCCCTTCAGTAGAGGTTATCACGAAAAAGTAAAATTCCCCAAAATCAAATTTTATAATTTTTCTGTCGAATACCTTTCGACCAATTTTTTTATATTCCTAAAAATTGCAGCAACGTTGGTGGCGAAGTTAGGCACCAATTGAAACGTCTGGGTAGTCACCCGAGCATAGCGCTGTGGTCTGGCAACAACGAAAACGAGGGAGCTCTCCGCGACAATTGGTACGGCACTTCGGACAACTTCGACGCTTTTAAGCAAGACTACATTAAATTGTACGTCGACCTCATTCAAAGCGAAGTGGCGCAAATTCTACCCAACGTGAACTTCGTAACATCGAGCCCGTCCAACGGACTGGAGACGGATCAAGAAGACCACGTTGCCCAGTGGCCGGGGAATCCTCTATACGGCGACGGTAAGACACCCCAACTGTGAAAACCCACCCACAGCCATGTTTTCAGTTCATTTCTACGACTACCAGTCGGACAGCTGGAACGTGGGCACTTTCCCAATACCCAGATTCTCGTCAGAGTACGGCTACCAGTCCATGCCGTGTATAGAATCCTGGTACACGGCGACCGAGAGTTTGGACGACTTGAGACCCGACAGCGACTTCTTGAACGCGAGACAGCACCACCCTGACGGTAACCAGCAAAACGTCGACTTGATTAATTTGCAGCTGCAACTACCGGATTCCTCGCACGAAAACTACGTGAAAGCTTTTGTTTACTTTTCACAGATATTACAAGCGCAGGCTATTAAAACCCAAACTGAGCACTACAGGAGTTTTAAGGGACGTTTGACTGACGACGGGCATGGTAATACTATGGGTGCGCTGTACTGGCAATTGAACGACGTGTGGGTGGCACCCACCTGGTCTGGAATCGGTACGCACACTTTTATCGATTAGTGTAATCCATAATGGAAAAGAATGTTTTAGATTTCACGGGTCGCTGGAAGATGCTGCACTACCAAGCGCGCGAATTCTTCAACCCGATGTTAATAACCGGTCGACTGACTAACGATGACGTTTTGGAAATATACGCAATCCTGGATGCGCTGGAAGTCCCCGATTTTACAATCAAGGCACTAATGCACATTTACGTGTGGGACTCCCTGGAGCCTCTGGTCGCCATCGAGTATCCAGTAACCTTGGACCCTCTGACAGCGGTTCTTGTTACCACGGTAGACGCACCGACAGCTCTTGCTTCAGTCGGCTGCGGCGACAACTACGAAGAAGCCAAAAAGAACTGCTTCTTCCATTTCCACTTGTTGGACGAAAACAACAACCACCTGGTGCCTTTCAATCACCTCTTCCCGGAGAAGCTGAGGAATGTGGCTCTTCCGAGTGCTAACGTCCAGATTGAGTCTGTCACGGCTACGGACGAAGAAGGCTACGAGTTTGACGTAGTTGTGACTACGGATGTCGTGGCGTTGTTTGTTTGGTTGGATAGTCATAGGATTATTGGTACTTTTTCGGCGAATGGGTTCTTGCACGTGCTGCCCTCTAGGACTGTGCAATTTACGGCGAATGAAGCCACCACCGTGGAGGCGCTGACGGCTGAGTTGACTGTGACGCATTTGAGAGATCCGGCGTATTTGTAAAAATTATGTTACGTTTTTTCAACAGTGCGGACCAATATATTGTTATAAGAGCGACTTATTGTTCATTTTCCCTTGAGTTTTTGAAATTTTGAGGGTTTTCCGGGTTAATTGACAAGACAATTTTAATTATTATCCATTCACTATCTTTATATAGTAGGGTTGGCCATGAAAATCTAGTGAGTTTGTTGGTATTTAATGCAGAAGAATAAAAATTCCCCGAACGTTTTTCGTTAGGTTATGTTTTATTAAATTAAAGGTTAAAAAATATTTAAACTGTCTTTTAAAGTTGAAACGTTGGAGCCCCCTGAGATTCTTAAACTATCTTTTAAAGATAATACGTCAAGAGCCCTTGAGATTCTTTAAACCTCTTCAAAAATAGAACATTCGAGCCCTCTGAGATTCTTTAAACTGTCTTTTAAAGATGAAACGTCTGGAGCCCCTGAGATACTTTAAACCTCTTCAAAAATAGAACGTTGGAGACCCCTGAGATTCTTAAACTACGTTTTAAAGATAATACGTCGGGAGCCCCTGAGATTATTCAAACCTCTTCAACAATAGAACGTTGGAGACCCCTGAGATTCTTTAAAAGAATATCGAGATTTTTACAATTCTTTTGAAAATAAAACGTCTGAGGTCCCTAAGACTTTTTAAACTCTCTTTTATAGATGAAACGTCGGGAACCCCTGAGATTCTTAAGATATCTTTTAAAGATAATACGTCGGGAGCCCCTGAGATTCTTTAAACCTCTTCAACAATAGAACGTTGGAGACCCCTGAGATTCTTTAAACAGTCTTTTTAAGATGAAACGTTGGGAGCCCCTGAGATTCTTAAACTACCTATCTTTTAAAGATAATATGTCAAGAGCCCCTGAGATTCTTTAAACCTCTTCAAAAATAGAACATTGGAGCCTCTGAGATTCTTTAAACTGTCTTTTTAAGATGAAACGTTAGGAGCCCCTGAGATTCTTAAACTACCTTTTAAAGATAATACGTCGGGAGTCCCTGAGATTATTTAAAGCTCATCAACAATAGAACGTTGGGGACCTCTGAAATTCTTTAAACTGTCTTTTAAAGATGAAACGTCGAGAGCTCCGAGATTGTTAAACTATCTTTTAAAGATAAAGCATATGTCGGGAGCCCCTGACATTCTTTAAACCTCTTCAACAGTAGAACGTTGGAGCTCCATGAGTTTCTTTAAACTGTCTTTTAAAGATGAAACGTTGGGGGCCCCTGAGATTCTTAAACTATCTTTTAAAGATAATACGTCAAGAGCCCCTGAGATTTTTCAAACCTCTTCAAAAGTAGAACATTGGAGTCTCTGAGATTCTTTAAACTGTCTTTTAAAGATGAAACGTCTGGAGCCCCTGAGATACTTTAAACCTCTTCAAAAATAGAACGTTGGAGACCCCTGAGATTCTTTAAAAGAATATCGAGATTTTTACAATTCATTTGAAAATAGAACGTCTGAGGTCCCTAAGACTTTTTAAACTCTCTTTTATAGATGAAACGTCGAGAGCCCCTGAGATTCTTTAAACCTCTTCAACAATAGAACGTTGGAGCTCCGTGAGTTTCTTTAAACTGTCTTTTAAAGATGAAACGTTGGGGGCTCCTGAGATTCTTAAACTACCTATCTTTTAAAGATAATATGTCAAGAGCCCCTGAGATTCTTTAAACCTCTTCAAAAATAGAACATTGGAGCCTCTGAGATTCTTTAAACTGTCTTTTAAGATGAAACGTCTGGGGCCCCTGAGATACTTTAAACCTCTTCAAAAATAGAACGTTGGAGACCCCTGAGATTCTTTAAACTACCTTTTAAAGATAATACGTCGGGAGCCCCTGAGATTATTTAAAAGAATATCGAGATTTTTACAATTCTTTTGAAAATAAAACGTCTGAGGTCCCTGAGACTTTTTAAACTCTCTTTTATTGAAGAAACGTCAGGAGCCCCTGAGATTCTTAAGATATTTTTTTAAAGATAATACGTCTGGAGCCCCTGAGATTCTTTAAACCTCTTCAAAAATAGAACATTCGAGCCCTCTGAGATTCTTTAAACTGTCTTTTAAAGATGAAACGTTGGGGGTCCCTGAGATTCATAAACTACCTATCTTGTAAAGATAATATGTCAAGAGCCCCTGAGATTCTTTAAACCTCTTCAAAAATAGAACATTGGAGCCTCTGAGATTCTTTAAACTGTCTTTTAAAGATGAAACGCCTGGAGCCCCTGAGGAACTTTAAACCTCTTCAAAAATAGAACGTTGGAGACCCCTGAGATTCTTTAAACTGTCTTTTTAAGATGAAACGTTGGGAACCCATGAGATTCTTAAACTACCTTTTAAAGATAATACGTCGGGAGCCCCTGAGATTATTTAAACCTCTTCAACAATAGAACGTTGGAGCTCCCTGAGATTCTTTAAACTGTCTTTTAAAGATGAAACGTTGGGGGCCCCTGAGATTCTTAAACTAGGATCTTTTAAAGATAATACGTCAAAAGCCCCTGAGATTCTTCAAACCTCTTCAAAAATTGAACATTGGAGCCTTCTGAGATTCTTTAAACTGTCTTTTTAAGATGAAACGTTGGGAGTCCCTGAGATTTTTAAACTACCTTTTCTTTAAAAGGTAGTTCAAAAATCTTTATTTTAGATTATTTAAAGCTCATCAACAATAGAACGTTGGAGACCTCTGAGATTCTTTAAACTGTCTTTTAAAGATGAAACGTTGGGGGCCCCTGAGATTCTTAAACTAGGATCTTTTAAAGATAATACGTCAAGAGCCCTTGAGATTCTTCAAACCTCTTCAAAAATTGAACATTGGAGCCTTCTGAGATTCTTTAAAGTGTCTTTTTAAGATGAAACGTTGGGAGCCCCTGAGATTTTTAAACTACCTTTTCTTTAAAAGGTAGTTTAAAAATCTTTATTTTAGATTATTTAAAGCTCATCAACAATAGAACGTTGGAGACCTCTGAGATTCTTTAAACTGTCTTTTTAAGATGAAACGTTGGGAGCCCCTGAGATTCTTAAACTACCTTTTAAAGATAATACGTCAAGAGCCCCTGAGATTATTTAAACCTCTTCAACAATAGAACGTTAGAGACCCCTGAGATTCTTTAAAAGAATATCGAGATTTTTACAATTCTTTTGAAAATACAACGTCTGAGGTCCCTGAGACTTTTTAAACTCTCTTTTATAGATGCAACGTCGGGAGCCCCTGAGATTCATTAAACCTCTTCAACAATAGAACGTTGGAGCTCCCTGAGTTTCTTTAAACTGTCTTTTAAAGATGAAACGTTGGGGGCCCCTGAGATTCTTAAACTAGGATCTTTTAACGATAATACGTCAAGAGCCCCTGAGATTCTTTAAACCTCTTCAAAAATAGAACATTGGAGCCTCTGAGATTCTTTAAACTATCTTTTAAAGATGAAACGTCTGGGGTCCCTGAGATACTTTAAACCTCTTCAAAAACAGAACGTTGGAGACCCCTGAGATTCTTTAAACTACCTTTTAAAGATAATACGTCGGGAGCCCCTGAGATTCTTTAAAAGAATATCGAAATTTTTACAATTCTTTTGAAAATAAAACGTCTGAGGTCCCTGAGACTTTTTAAACTCTCTTTTATTGATGAAACGTCGGGAGCCCCTGAGATTCTTAAGATATCTTTTAAAGATAATACGTCTGGAGCCCCTGAGATTCTTTAAACCTCTTCAACAATAGAACGTTGGAGCTCCCTGAGTTTCTTTAAACTGTCTTTTAAAGATGAAACGTTGGGGGCCCCTGAGATTCTTAAACTACCTTTTAAAGATAATACGTCGGGAACCCCTGAGATTATTTAAACCTCTTCAACAATAGAACGTTGGAAACCCCTGAGATTCTTTAAAAGAATATCGAGATTTTTACAATTCATTTGAAAATAGAACGTCTGAGGTCCCTAAGACTTTTTAAACTCTCTTTTATAGATGAAACGTCGAGAGCCCCTGAGATTCTTTAAACCTCTTCAACAACAGAACGTTGGAGCTCCGTGAGTTTCTTTAAACTGTCTTTTAAAGATGAAACGTTGGGGGCCCCTGAGATTCTTAAACTACCTATCTTTTAAAGATAATATGTCAAGAGCCCCTGAGATTCTTTAAACCTCTTCAAAAATAGAACATTGGAGCCTCTGAGATTCTTTAAACTGTCTTTTAAAGATGAAACGTCTGGGGCCCCTGAGATACTTTAAACCTCTTCAAAAATAGAACGTTGGAGACCCCTGAGATTCTTTAAAAGAATATCGAGATTTTTACAATTCTTTTGAAAATACAACGTCTGAGGTCCCTAAGACTTTTTAAACCCTCTTTTATAGATGAAACGTCGGGAGCCCCTGAGATTCTTTAAACCTCTTCAACAATAGAACGTTGGAGCTCCCTGAGATTCTTTAAACTGTCTTTTAAAGATGAAACGGTTGGGGGCTCCTGAGATTCTTAAACTAGGATCTTTTAAAGATAATACGTCAAAAGCCTCTGAGATTCTTCAAACCTATTCAAAAATTGAACATTGGAGCCTTCTGAGATTCTTTAAACTGTCTTTTTAAGATGAAACGTTGGGAGTCCCTGAGATTTTTAAACTACCTTTTCTTTAAAAGGTAGTTTAAAAATCTTTATTTTAGATTATTTAAAGCTCATCAACAATAGAACGTTGGAGACCTCTGAGATTCTTTAAACTGTCTTTTAAATTTAAAGATGAAACGTCGAGAGCTCCGAGATTCTTAAACTATCTTTTAAAGATAATACATATGTCGGGAGCCCCTGACATTCTTTACACCTCTTCAAAATAAACCGTTGGAGACCCCTGAAACGTCGAGAATACCAAGATTCTTTAAACTCTTTTGAAAATAAAACGTCTAAAATTCCTGAGACTCTTTATTTCGTTCTCGCTCTCTTTATTTCGTAACTCTGTTTTAAAGATGAAACGTCGTGAGCCCCCGAGATTCTTAAACTATCTTTTAAAGATAATATGTCGAGAGCCTCTGAGATTCTTTAACCGTTTCAAAATTAGAACGTTTGAGATCCGCGAGATTTCTTTACTC